GGATTTTTTGGGGGGTTTTAACACAGTGGCGGGTCATTTTGACCCGAAGACAACAGGAGGGTTAAGAACAAATCTGTGCGTACGAACGGTTCTTGCATGAGGCCCAATGCCATCATGTGCTTAACTTCTCAGTATATCTATACTGCAATAAATAAAACATACTTTTTTATTGTCCACTTCAAGGAAAAAGCAGAGCATGTAAAAAACTGCTATATGTAAAACATTTTATTGTAGTGTGGTTTGTAACAAACATAAAAGTCTGAAAACCGAAGTCATATAAAGACAACAGCTGTGGTCTTGGCCCTACTCAACTAGCCATTAATTCAGCAGTCCTGACAGATAATAAACTTTATTTATCCAAAATGAGGCCGTTCAAAAATCCAGCTACAACAGCTAAAATAGTATTTTAGAACTTTTCCACAGACCCCTGCTTCAAAAAAGCTTAAACATCCCTAAAAGGATTACAGGCGCAAAGAGCAGGTTGATGGGGAAAAAAATCACAATGTTATATAGCTGTCAATTTTGATTAAAAAAGAACTGATAATCTGCAACAGGAAGTAATAGATTTGATTGTTGGATGTTTAAATTGTAAAAATAAAACTGCATAATTAGAATATGCCACAAGATTAAAATTTGAATCGGTGTATTTAAAATATGTCAAGTATGARGCTAGAGAAGAGGATTAAGCTCTAAAGCTAAATTAGTGCATTTTTGTTTTAGTTTCGTTTCTGTTCTGAGACATTTGGGTACACCCAACAAACTGATGGATAACGAACCTGACATCCCTCCTGAAGCATTTCTAACCTGGACAATCATCAAGTCAGACCAGCTTGTGGTGTTGTTTCTTTCGGTCAGACCCAGCACATTTTAATAATTGGTCTGATGTAGCTAAACTCCACCAGAAAGGATAAAAAGGTCCAGTTAGCTTAGCTCATCATGTAGATAGCTAATAGCTAACACCTAAGGTAAAAATGCATTTAGTGCATTAAATGCATTAAGTATTCAGAGACTGTCACCTGAGCATACCCAATAACTAAGAGCAATCCATATTAATCCATGTTTTTACAGGTTTAATCAAGCTTTACGTTTAACACTAACAGCTCAGACACTGTCGATGCTTAAAAACATAATTATATATTATTTAGCATATAAATAAAAGCCATGAACAATAGGAACTTGTCACTGCTAATGCTCAATATTTCGTTTCTAGTTTGAATATGTTTAAAATCACTAAAAGTAGCAGAAGTACAGAATGTGCAAAGATACACCCAAGCTAATGTTACCTGCTGATAAGACACGAGCAGCCAGGTTAAAGACTATAACTAGGTTACCGAGAGGCAGAAGTATCGCGTTCAGTGTCTTTGATTGTATGCAAATAACTGCGTACGTATAGTGAACACAAATCCAGGTACTCACCTTAGGAATCACATATGAAGATATGCTTGCTAGCTAGCGAGCTAGCATTGCTTAGCTAAAGTGCTTTAGTGCAATTTTTTTTACAGCTATTTGAGGCATTCGTCGAGGCTACAAGAAGAGCGACGCCTGAGCGGAGAGTCAAGTAGGTGGCGGATGTGGGAAATACAAGTCCTACAAGCATTTAAGTACTAAAGTTACAAGCGTAAAGCTTAAATGTGCAGAAGAATTTCAATTTCAAAGCACCGTGGACTCAGTCAGTCAGTCGACGGGCGGCCATTTTGCGTCTCCAATGGGCAGGTCGAAGCAGCTGCAGGGAAGCGCTCTGATTGGTCGGCTCCAGTCAGGAGGYATGAAAAGACTCCACACCGCTGTCTAACTCACTTTAACAGATTGTTTTGGCACTAATGTTCTTTATGCGACTCAAATCTGTCCTCTCACTTGTGTTACACCCATTATTTTTCGTTCAAGGAATAAAAAGTAGGTTATATGGTTTTTTAAATGCAAAATTCGCATAAAGTTTCCCAAATTTACAGTTCAATAAATTAATTGTAAGAATACAGAGRCATTATAGTATAGTACTCGTTTTTCAGTTTTTGGTACCCATTCTGTTTTATTCCTTCTGCACAAATGTTCAGCTTATTCATACCTGCTGCAATTCACTTTTTAACTTGTTTTTTTTTTTTTTTTTTTTTTTAACATAATCCATCCCTCTTCAATTCCTACACAAACATTACATTTTAAAACCCACTTCAGTGGAATGGCTCTGTTTTTATCTTGTTTTGCTACTTTTAAGTAAAAWTCTGCTACTTTTAGGTTTTAGCTACTGTTCTGCCACTTTCTGGCTAGTCTTTTGCTGCTTTTAGCTTATAGCTGCCTTATGCTACTTTGCAGCTCACTGTAATATTTACCAAAATAATTTTAAAAAAGAGATTATCAATTATCAAAAMAAATATTATCAATAAACAGATTTATTTATTGACACTGATCTGTTTTTGTTGTTTTTAACCATGCACAAATAGATTTTGTTCAAACAGTAAAGGTAATATGTCAGTTTTCTCACAGAAAATACATATTTGTACATGTTCAACATTTAAAAATGTTTCAGCAGGGAGCGACAGTAATATATTCAATAAAACAAACTCACATCTGAACTTYTTCAAATAATCAGTAGTTGAGAGGAAAACATTCACTCTGGTAWAAACAAGTGCAAAACCACAGAATAACCTCTCATGTCTGATAAGATCTCAGCAGCTGAAAGGCAAAACAAACTTTTAAACATTTTAACCACAATTATCTTACAAGTAATTATTTTTCCCCTCATTTATAACGCTGATAATTGTACATGTTCCATAACAGGTATCTTCTTCGTTTAAAAAAATAAAAGCTTTTTTCTAAAGCTGAACTTCCATTATCTGGTTTTGTGTAGTTAATAAATGGAAACATATGTTGCTTTAAACTGTGGCTGCATTTAGTCTGGACTGCCTTCTCAGTGAACTATTTATCAGGGAGACTTTTCTGCCACAACATATTAAAWTAACTCACCAACCTCTATAATATTGTGCTGCAAAGCTGCAAAGTTCAAGTTGTGAAGGTAAATACGCTTTTTCTGGTTGAGCTAGCTTAAGTTCATTTCAGCCAAATGTGAAAACAAAAATGTTGTGGCCAGGATTTTTCTCTATTTGTCATAAAGTCATGGAAAGGCAAACCAGTATAACAAAGAGCAGCCAAATTTGTTGCTTTTAGTATAACATGAAGGGTGTGCGTACCTAATTCTAGTTACCTTTGGAGGACCTTTTTTGTATACACACGTACCGTGTCAGGACCAGTAGCCTTTTTGGGGACCACAGCCTGGTCCTAATACAGTGGAATGTCATTTTTCTGTCAGTGGTTAGGTTTAGGACTAAGGTATGAGTTGTGGCTGMTTTTAGGGTAATGCTGCAGATATGAATGGAAGTCCATACATGTTCCTATAAAAAAATAAAAATACAAACCTTTGTGTGTTTGTAATACAGGTTCTGAAGCTTGTTCACAACCATAATTTAAGTAAATATATCTGTTCCTTTTCAAAAATGCATAAAATCTTTTACAAACTCAGCTTTTCATTAATCACATTAACCTGAAATACACTAGAAATGAAAAATAACCAAAACGACAGTTTAGTGTCAGAAAAAAAAAAAACATTATCCTGTAATGCCCGCTTAGAGATGAAAACCCTGATTTAAACTCGTGGTTCTGTTTGTTCAATAATCACAACGTTCTGTTCGACTGTGTCAGCCAGTGTTTAAAGTAAACCCTGCTCGCTACGCGATAACAGTTCACAGCGCTGTCGACRTATGAGCTCCTGACTGGCAGGGGGCTGCGAGCGTCTGTGGTAGTCCAGGCTGTTAGAGAAGACTGACACGGGGTGGCTCCATGGAGTTTCCTCTCACTGAGATGTGATCCCACCCACCCTAAGAAAAAAAAAAGAGGTGACAGTGAGACAAAGAAGGCCCACCAAACTTTATTTAAATAGCATTCAGCTAAAAAGCACTTTCTATGGTTGCTCAGGTGTGTTGGCCATTTTGAAACGCATCTACTCCAGAATGATTTCAGCTACAGATGTTCATCCAATGATCACTTTCTGAAAGTTTAATTTAAAATCTGTTCAGTCGTTCATAAATGAGACAAAGACAATAAAAACATCATTGCCTGCCTTTCGCTTTTTGGCTGTGGTCACAAGACTGAAGAGAGCAAGTGCTTCTTCACCTTTGAGCTGCCGATTTTGAGTTTTCAATGCACWCTGCCAGTTTAAGTAATGACAGTTCGCTTATAATCCGTTAAAAGTCTAATTACCCCGATGCCATAGTCCCATGACTGTCCTTTGGGTTCCATGGGATGGACCCCGAGTCGATGACACACTGTCCCACAGCTCAGACTGTGACTGCCCTGAACTTTATCTGCGATGATCCAAACCTACAAATCACACAAAACAGCAAACAGCTTATGAACAGAAAGAAGCAGGTAATAACAAAATATGATAAATATTTGACAAATTTTAAAGGAAAAATAGCAACAGACTCCTAAATTGGCAATTTCATCCTGAATAAACTGACCACAGAATGCTCAGTTTTACAATTCTTTCTGCTACACTTCCCACTGCGTGCGTACCTGATCCAGGGGCCCCACAGAGACTTTGCGCACATTATTAGAGATGTGTTCCCAAGAAGAGCCCTGAGGGTAGCTGGGGCCCACACCCTGTCGGTACCACAGGTTACCTGTTCAGGAAACACCCKGGTCAGAGATATTTTGGTGAAGAAACGTGAAACAAAGATGTCTGTTATGTTTAGGCATGCACGGAATCGTAGTGGCATTACCGTTTTCGTCTACAGAATAAATAGATGTCCGTCCGACAGAAACCTGCTTTAACCTCTGCTTAGCAGGAGAGGGGATGTGGTACCAGCAGTCTCCTGCAGAGGAAGCCACAGCACACTTTATGGCGTGTCCTGTTTATGTATTTAAAAGGTAACAGTGCTGATTATTGTCTGGGTTTTTCCAGACGATCACAGCTTCTCCTGCTGACCTGCCGGGTTCTGTGGAGAGACGGATCCCCTGTAGAAAGCAGAACCGTCTCTGGCAATAGCCCAYACCTGGCCTGCGGCTCCAATGGAGATGGACTTGAAAGGCTGGTCCGTACCCACATGGAGCCACGAGGATCCCTGAGAGACAAACAGGAGGAAGTTAAAACTATTTCCTCTTAGATGTGAAAAAGCTCTTCCACTGTTTTTTATTGTGTGTTAAAACATTTATTTGGACTACAAAACTAATCTGTAGCAGGGCAGACAAGTTCCTTTTACTGAGCAGCATCTTCATTCTTCTAATGCTAAACGCACAGATTGTTGCTCACCATGTGTCTGAAAGAAGACTGTTGGAGGCAAATGTCTTCAAAAAAGGTGAGTCGGTTTTCATTTATTATTAATTGTCATCCATCCATCCATCCATCCATCCATCCATCCATCCATCCATCCATCAAGTCGTGTCGTGACGGCAGCAGCTTGAGCAGAGCAGGAAGGCCCTAATCTCTCTTTTCCCAGTCACCCCTTCCATCTCTTCTGGGAGGATTCCAAGGTGTTCCCAGGCCAGATGAGAGACAGTCACTCCATCATGTCCTGGGTCTCCCACCAAGGTCACGTTCCAGTTGGACATGCTCGAAGCACCTCCCTAGGGAGGCATCCTTACCAGACGTCGAAACCACCACAATTGACTTCTCATGATGTGGAGGAGCAGCGGCTCTACTCTCTCTCCTGGATTACTGAACTTCTAACCCTGTCTCTAAGGGAGCGTTCAGCTACTCTGTAAATAAACCTCTTTTAGACCGCCTGTGTCTGAGATCTCGTTCTTTCAGTTACTTACCAAAATTCAAGACCATAGTTGAGGTAAACAGACAGCTGTGGAATCTGCACTGATTCATCTGTCAATCTCACGCTCCATTCTTCCCTCACTTATGAACAAAACCCCAAGATACTTGAAGTCCTCCACTTGAGGCTGGACCCCCAACTCGGAGAGGGCAATCCACTCTTTAAAACTGAGGACCATGGACTCAGATTTAATGGTGCTAATCCTCATCCCAGCCGCTTCACATTCAGCTGAAAATCGCTCCAGTGAAAGCTGAAGATCACTACATGTTGAAGCCAACAGAACCACATCATCTGCAAACAGCAGAGATAAAATCCTGAGGCCACCAAACAGGACTCCCTCCGCCCCCTGGCTGTACCAAGAAATCCTGTCCATAAAAGTTATGATCAGAATTGATGACAARGGGCAGCCCTGTCTGAGTCCCACTCTAAAGGGGTGGGACTCCAACTTACTGCCGGCAATGTGAACCAAACCCACACACCACTGTATAAGGACTGAATGGCCCCTGACAACGGACCCACAATCCCATACTCACGGAGCAGCCCCCAGAGTGTACAACGAGGAACACGGTTAAAAGTAGAGATCGACCGATACAGGTTTTTGAAGGCCGATACCGATTTTTTTAAACATCAGTCTAACCGATACGCCAATACAGTGGTTTGCAAAAGTATTCATACCCCTTGAACTTTTCCATATTTTGTCACATTACAACCACAAACATAAATATATTTCACTGGAATTTAATG